GCTGCCTTTTAAATTTGGGCAGGTATTTTCATCTATTTTGTGTAAATATATCTCCAGGATAAGGCCAGCACATGCAGGCATCTCCTTCACCAGTTTTAATGCATTAAAGTGGGCCTTTACCCCCTTTCACTAAAAATCCCATCAGCATACAGCTCTGCATGCAGATCTGAAGTCATCTTACATTCATTAGTAACAAAGATAGTTTTATTTTACTTACAATTACAGTCCTGGTCCTCTTTGGCACAAATGATGTAATTGTGCCCAAGCATTGCATCCTGGGAAGGTTACATCAGCAGATCATTGCTGGGAAATCTCATCTGTAATCTCACGAGATCTCAGGGAAAGGCATTTTTCTCCCCTGAGATGATGTGCATAGGTCACATGCCCCAGTCACATGTACCAGAGTTGCAGGAAGTAAAGGGAGATGGATTCATCTGCCCTTAGTAAAAATGGCCACTGTGAGAAGAATGTGGAGGATAAGAAAAATAAGGTATGCAAAGAATACAAAGCCTGCAATTATCTATTTGTAGATTAACAAACAGTAATTATCTGTTTGTAGATTGGTTTTTCTAAACATTTCTAAAGATGTATTTGTTGTCATTTTAAAGATACAGTATGGGTAAAGTTCCTCTTTAACATGAATGATTGGATGATAATAGCAAGCAAGTTAATGCAACAACTGTTTAAATAAACTATAGCAGTTGGATTATGACCCCATAATTGACCATCATCTAATTCTATCTTTATCAGTTTTTACACACCCGGAATCAGTATTCCTAAAGTAGTCTAATGTACTGAATTTTTCACCCCGTAGAGTACTTTCATTCATTACGATACGTAAATGTGTAAAAAATAAATAAATATCAGCATCTTATTAAATAACATTTATGCCACGGAAAAGATTTATCATGGGCTTAGGAATGTATTTCTCGAGTCTCTTAAATATGCAATTTATTCTAATATAGACTGTCTCAAATACCAAGCACAAAACATGAACAGAAAGCCCCATACACCTTGCAGATTCCTCCTATAAACTGTCGCATCAAATTTTGGGACTTTTCATATATTTATACCTAAGAGAGTTAAAAATGCCCTGTTAATGTATATAATTCGAATATAAACATTTTTTACATGTAGGTCTGTGCACCAACTGGGTTTAACTTTGAGGATGAAAATTTGGCACGTGCCACTGATGAACTGGCTTTCTAATGTGCAGCTTTAACCCTTTCGCTGCCACTGGCATAAGGGTTCTGACGGAACACAACTGCTTCCAGTAGGCCAGCTCAGTAATCCTTGGGGCTGGTTTACACCACTTCCAGTGCATTCCAGCATGGTTAGCTTCTGGAACGCACTGAATCGCATTAGAAATTCCTCCCTGCGTTCTAGGGTGGGGGAGGAGGCGCTTGTACTATTTTTTTGCGATTGCACTGGACCAGAACCCAGGCATTGATGTGCCACATGTTCTGGTGCATGCGATCACACGCGCTGGGTTATCATTGACTTGAATGATAACACCAACCACGCACCACCCCACACAAATACACATACAAGTTAAACAGACACATAGCATATATATGACTGTTACATGTGTTGGTGCACTGCACTGGGCCCGTTTACACCAGGCGTAAATTATGGTGTGCAAATGTATGTAAAATTTCTGCCTGGATAAATTTTATTACAATGCATACCAATGCAGCACGCACACGCACGCACGCACGCACACACACACACACACACACATTACCACAATGCATAGGTGTGAGGCCAACTTCCAGGTTTGCCAAAAAGACACAATTTAAAATTAATAAATATTTATTATTTATTGACTCAATGCCATGTTCTCTTTTAGATTTAGTATGAATTTTTTCATTAAGTTGTGTTTTTATTTGTGATTTTAGCCACCTTGAGTTAAAAATGGAAAGCAGGGCCTGGCAGCAAAAGGGTTAAACGTGGAAATGTTATCCTGACTCTTTCTTCAGTACTTTCTTAGTCACTTATGAGGAACAATTAAACAGATCAGAGTTCAGACATTCAGATTTCACTGGCCACCAGCTTGTATGAGATCATTGACTCACTGATATGGAGAAGACAGCCCTGGAGCTTGGACCTTTAAAAGACAAATCAGCAATGACAGCTACCATATTGTCGAGCGGCGCGCGCGAGGGGGCGTGTCTGAGCGGACGTCTAGAGACGCCCGCTCAGATCTAGAGAGCTCCGGGCCGGCCGTTTTTCTACTTCGGCCGGCCCGGAGGCAGTTAAAATGTATCTAAACCCATAAACCAAAATGTAATATATTGTAGCTTGCTAATCCTTAAATGTGGTGGCTGCATTAGTTTTTAGTTTTTTACCCTTTATTTTTGTCTGATAAACCAGCCAGTAAAACACTTCCTGTCTTAGGGTGAGTTAACTTTAGGAAGGCGCAATGGAGGCACCATTGGGCAGCAGAACTATCAACTTGTGGAGAGGGAAGTGTTAGATACACTAGTAGATATAGATGGACTTGACTAACAAACTAAATCTGAACTCAAGCTAACATTTTCTAAGTAGTTGCAGCAACCTTTTTTTTTCTTTTGGGATAAAGGTTTTTACATAAATGAATAAAAGCTAATAATTATGGTGTGAACAAACCCTAAACGTCCCTTTTAAAGCATTACAACACTTTTGCTGGAAACGATCACCCGCCTATATTCAGGATTGTTTCATCATATTAGGTCTACTCAGAATCATATTTTATCCTTCTATGTATGTTAATTTTCTGCCATCTAGTGTTAAATCTGTGATAATTACCAGCACTGCTCTTCTGAATTGTTCTTTTATTATGTATACAAAATATTTTTGTCAAATGAGTTTAATAATATGTATGTAGTGCTGGATCACTAAGAACTACTGTTTTAAAAATATAGATGAATATTGCTTTCCCTTCCCTAAACCATTCAGCACCATGCACTAACCGATAAAAAAAAGGTTGCCACTTCCCATACCAACTGCAGACCAGCTCTGCATATACAACTGTAGAAGTCCTGTTCCATTGGGTAACAAAATATTCATTTATACACTGTTGGAACGAGAGGATGTTCCTGACAGATTGGTTCAGAAGTTCATTAGTAAAGAGTTCATACGTGGCCCGCAACTTCTCATGCATTTGTAAAGATCCTGGTAGAATTATTCAACCTCCAACAAAGGGGTGTGGGAGCAGAAATAAAATGCAGTTATCATTTTAAACATGTTGTTATAATTCTTAATATAAATATCTTGTAAGGTAATGATCACAATCATTTTTATATAAAAACAAATTAATACATGCAGATGATGTTACAGTTTGGAAAGCCATCATCTACATATATATATATATATATATATATATATAGATATAGATCTTTATATATATATATATATGGTCTGTGATGACTTGCAGCAGAAAAATGGTGTATTGTTTCTAATTTTCATGGACTTCAGGGTTTTACAAATGTGTCTCTTTAACATATGTCCAGTTGCACATGCCAACTGTCCAGCTTTAGCTGAAGGGCACATTTAAAGAGGAACTCCAGGAATTTGTTTTTATTAACCTTTGCAGTAGGGCTCTGATGCTTCCCATATCATATTGATGACTGGTTCAGAAGTTAGAGAGGGAAGAGATACAGTTCTATTGATTGAAATCAAAATCAAATTAAGCCGGGATAATGGTTTCCTGAAAACCTTTATCAACAAAACCAAATTACTGTTGACTTTTGTTGTGTATCCTTTCTTCTAACAGGATATTTTTAAATGCGATGTTAGAAGGGATTAGAAGAATTTAGTTTTCTAATACACAACATTGTAGTATCTATAAATATATCCAAAAAGTGGTTTATCTTCTTCAAATGTTTTCAGTAAGTTAGTCATTGAATATTCCCATTTAATAAGCTAAAATATCAATAAGTCACAGAAGGACTTATTGTTCACCTCTGACTGTTTTTACATTGTAAGGTTTTATAAGGAGCCAAGCTCTCACTGCCCGAACCAGCAATATGTCGTAGTTAAACTTGCTTTATTCTACTATTGGGTAAGTATTGTCTGCAACAAAACCTGACATGGTCCTTAATATGTCCTTGTAAGCAAGATTAATAAGTTCACAAATTATCCATCTGACAACCGTAAAACACAGCATTTTCATTTCTTCTATGTCTATAGTTTAGGCAGAGATATTCAACTCTCTGTATTAAAAATAAATAAAAAAGACCACTTCTATCAAACTGCAGGGGGCATAGTACCTCTCAGCATTTACCACCAGTGTAGCTCCTCTGTCTCTGGAAGTGTTATTTCAGCATGTCCTGTAGGCATCTCTCCCTTCTATGTAGAAATGCTCATCCCAGGATATGCCATTTATATATTTTCATTAAATGTAAAACGCTTAATCTTAGCAAGTCCCACTGGTGGGTATGCTTTCTTTGTAGAAGTCCTAACATGCTCATTTGGTCGATATTTTTCTTTAGAACTACAAGTTCTTTTCCTCATGCCAAGTATTTAATGGCATAAATATAGCAACACAAAATCATCTTCATGAACTGTTAGTGTTGGTGTACTGCATATAATAAAATCATAAAGGATAAAATTGATTCACTTATATTGAAAAGTGTACTGTGTTCGTTTTCTCTTTCCTATAAACCACTCATCGAATGGAGAAATGTTCACTAATTTAACACAAAATACAAAAGCATGCCCAGGTAACCATATCTAGAGCATATGCAATGTATCTGTGTTCCAAAGCAATGGTGCTCAAGCTCTTTTATGTTGGGACCTCAAAGTCAGTTAGCTATGGTTTTCAGACCAAGAAAGTACATCCCAACAGAATGAATGTCTGAATCCAAGAATTTATTTTAGTAGCTCATTTGGGGTCTCAATCCACAGGTACACCTCTAACCTACACAGATTTGAGTGTGTGTATTTTTCATGAACACATTTATGAGTACGGATAAGTTACAATTTTCCCAGCTGTCCCTTCAGTACAGCATTAGTTCTGCCCTTACCTGGAGTCTGAAAGTTAATGCGTCTCATCTCCACTGGATCAGTTGGATGGTGAGGGGTGATCTCTGCATTATTCAGTAAACATTTGGTCCTGGGTTCTGAGTTTTTCCGTTTGCTTAAAAATGTAAAAATTGTATAATGAATTGCTGTTTTGTGCTTGTTTTTTTTTTTTTAAATAGTTGGAAGTCTACATTGGACATAATGTCACATATTTAATGCCACTAGACAACCATCTATTAATCCACAAAAGGTTAAAAAAAAAGTACAGTGATCTCAGACAATTAAAAATCTCTTATTTATAAGTTTTCATATTGGTGCCCCTTGTGCCCTGAGAACTGAGCATTATTCTACACTTGCGAAAACTCCAAAAGACACCAAGTGACCAAAATGGGATTTCAAAACTACACATATTATAATAGTAAGACAAATATTAAAATATATTCCACTACACATAATTTTTAAGGAGAAAACATTGACAGAATTAAAAGAGCAACATATATTCTTACCTGTCTGGTTTGCTACACATGGAAGCAACAGGAAAAAAAAAGCAACAAGTTATATTACATTAGAAACAGTATTCAAACAGCATTATTTTGCCATAAAGAACAATAAAAGGTGTTCTACCATACGCATTAAAAGTATTAAAGACATTTTTATACAGTTTGACAGTAGTTGACTTCATATTGAATGAACTGTAAACAACCACTCTGTTTTAATCCAGTGTGTTACTAATCGCCAAGTATTATAACTTTTTCTGGATTGTTTGCTACACTGATTGACAAGCTCTTGCTGCATCCCAGAAACTATTTTAAAATAAAAAATTATTTGGAAAATGATGTTTGTAATGCCTCTAGAAATGAAGCTTGTATAAATACATATACAAGCCCTTTAAACTAGGAATTACAAATACAATATAATTTAAGGCAGACAACTTGATACACAGAAGGTACTAGTAAGGATCATGAGTTTTATATATGACTTTTGTACTGTATTTGTGAAGTGTTGTGGTTGCCATTGCAGTGTTTTTTGCATTCCCTGACTGGGAAATGGGTGCATGTGGCTCCTCACAGGGGGTCTTCCAGTGGGATGTATATGACTGCAAGGGTGCATACTATGTGTATACACATACTATGTGTGTACACATACTATGTGTGTACACATACTATGTGTGTACACATACTATGTGTAGCCTGTTTTTGATCTCAGTCCTGGGGACTACAGAGTTGTGGAATGTGCTTTTTGATCATCAGTGTATGTAAATAAATATGTATATTTAGGCCTGTAATCTCACTCCTTTTTCTTGATCCTTGACAGTACTCATTTATCCAGGTCATGGTATAGCTAGAAGTACTTTCAACTTGATCTTCTCTAGATTGTTGAAGACGTTTCACTGCTTGTTTAACGAACTACTAGCTAACATAATACAGAGCTGAAAAGCATATGATTACACGGTTTTACCTGCCAAAATAATTACGATTCTGTTAAGACAGTTTTCTCATTCATATACATAGGCAGAAAAATGTTTTAGAAAATGTATTTTTCGGTTTAGCTTTGTAGCCTGCCTGTATAGCCTGCCTTTTCAATGGACAAATTAATTATAATTGTGATAACATTGATTTATTGTCCAACGAGCAGCCTGGAGATAGAGGGGAGGACGTGAAAACTGCAAAGCTGACCCAAAAAGGTGGAGAATCGGTTTAAAAATGTACAGTGTTTTCACAAGACTGGCGGCATTACAAATCATTTGGTAGCTAAAAAAGATAGAATAAGTAAAATATATTAGAACTGTGCATCTAGCTGCTTACCTAGAAAATGTGAATCTAAATGGTGTCATACATGTGAAGAAAATTTAACAAAATTTTGTTTTAAAGTGAATGTAAAGGCAAGGCTTATTTTTTTTTTTTTTTTGAGAGAGAGCAGGAAGGGGTAAGCGCTGTACAAAAGATGCGCTAATTCTTTCAGCTCTTTTTCATAAGAAAGAAGCCACAGCTTGCACAGAAGATCCTGTCCACTGCCAACATGGTACACTGAAGGACCCCTGTCCTTTTTGTAGAAGTCTGACATGACCTGCCAAAAACTCGTCAACACAAGCCTTTAGGTTGGGATCAAACCTGTTCCCTGTGTTATTGCAAGTTACTTTGCAGCCCATTAATTCTGAAGGGGCTGCCACCCAAACCCAGTACGACCAAAACTAAACTGGACCCTTTTTCTAATGCAACACATGGCATTTCATAGTAGCTGTTGTTGTGCATTTACCGTGTGCTGTAATTCAGGTTCATTAGGGTGCCATTCACAGAAAATGCCATTGCAATGTACTAAAGTGTGCAATGTTCTGCACTGTGCATTACAGATGGAGGTCAACTTCCCCTATCAATACATTCTAAACAGCTGCAGAAGCATCTCAAACTGATGTCAACCTATACATACAGCACTTGAATTTTTTTTCTAATGCAAGAAATGGCAACGCATAGTTGTCATTGCATGGTGTGTTGTCATGTTGCAATTCAGTTGCATCTGGGGTCAAAATAAATAGCATTGCAATGCACTAACGCACAAATTATGTGGCACTGCACATTACCGCAACCCCAAGTTAATCCTGGTTTTGTACTCTCCATGAAAACTCAGCTTCCTGCCTTTTCCCTCTAGTGATCTGGGATGGATGAATTATAGCCACATAAGGGGAGATTTACTGAAGGCAAACAGCCTGTTCATTTTGCAAGGGTATTTTCCATTAGTTTAGATAATGTGGTGAAAATTCCCTTTAAATTAAAATATATGCATGAATTATACAGTTTTTCATATTGCCTCAAGGTTAAGTTATCAACCATCTGCTTATTGCTCTTATAACACATTTAAATGTACTATACTGTCTGAAGCATGATTATGTTTTACACAAATGTTTCAGTCAGAATCCAAATGTTATCTAACTAGTTGTGATGGCACCTTAGAGGTCAAAAGGTTAGCAACATGGTTTACAATTAATGGATTAAAACAAACTGTTAGGAACATAAACAACCAAACATGACGCACCATATATTTAGGGTTAGTTCACACCATATGCAGTGGCCGGATCAATCAGGCTGCATCAAGCCTGTTGATTTTAGCCTATTTGCTTCTCTATTCAAGTCCCCCCAACTGTGTGGGTTGAATGCTCATTGACTAGGGAGGGGGTAGAAAGATGTACAAATAGTTACCCTATTCTTCACTCCCCGGACATCTGCCGCACTCCTCTGCTGTCCAACACTCCCTGTTTTTTGCCTGGCCCACGCCGTCCTCCTGCACAATGCAGGACTGCTGGTCCTGCATTGTAGGTGAGAATATCAGAGAGCTGGCCGGAATGCACTGCATCGCATTCTGGCCGGCTCACTTTTTTGTGGGACAGGAGGGGGCGTGGCGGGCTACTGAAGTTAATGGCACCGTAGCCACGCCCTCTTGCCGCAATGCGATCGCCCGCACGGGATCACAAGGCATATTGTGCCTGCGGTCCGGTGCGATCAAAATGCTGCCTTGTGATCCCGTGTAGGCGATCGTATTGCGGCCGTAGGGCGTGGCTATGGTGCCATTAACTTCAATGTCCCTCCACACCACACAGAAAAGTGAGCCGGCCGTAATGCGATGCAGTGCGCTCCGGCCGGAATCGGACCGGAGCGCACTGCATATGGTGTGAACTAACCCTTACAGTAATTATCAAAATATTTTGTAAATAAAAATTACTTTTTGTAGAGAAGAATAGCAATCACGATGCAGATTATGAAAACAACAGCTAGGACTGGTCCAATAACCCAAATCAGGCCTTCTTCCCCCTCAGTAATTGGTTGAGGATCTGGATCTTCTACTTGAATGGGATCGGAATATGGACTAGCAGCAAATATCTTCTGCAAGAGAGAGTATAATACAAAAGTTATAACCTTAATAATATATGAACACATTACCTTAAAAATAACAAAGGCGTCATAAAACTATGCAGTACAATGATTAACTGGGCTGTGAGTAGGGTGGTGCTTGCCCTCTGGGCAAGTCCAATCAGGCTGCATCAAGCCTGTTGATTTTAGCCTATTTGCTTCTCTATTCAAGTCCCCCCAACTGTGTGGGTTGAATGCTCATTGACTAGGGAGGGGGTAGAAAGATGTACAAATAGTTACCCTATTCTTCACTCCCCGGACATCTGCCGCACTCCTCTGCTGTCCAACACTCCCTGTTTTTTGCCTGGCCCACGCCGTCCTCCTGCACAATGCAGGACTGCTGGTCCTGCATTGTAGGTGAGAATATCAGAGAGCTGAGACCGGCTGGGCAGCAAAGCAGCTTTTGGGGACCAGTAACACGAGGAGGAGGAATCATGCAGGAACAAGGAAAAGGTAAATATTTGTACTTATTTCTTTCCCCCTAGCCAAACCAGCATTTACCATGCACCATGTGGTACAGGGTGGACTCTTACAGCATGGGTACATTTAAAAGTGGACTGGAGATGAGCTTTAACCACTTCAAGACCAGGTGTTTAGACCCCCTTCCTGGCCAGGCCATTTTTCAGTATTCAGCGCTCCGATACTTTGACTGACGTTTATTCCGTCATGCAACGCTGTACTGAAATGAATTTTATACCATTTTTTGGGGACAGATAGAGCTTTATTTTGGTGGTATTTAATCACCACTACGGGTTTTATTTTTTACTATAATTAGGAAAAATTACTGAAAATTTTGAAAAAAAAAAGTTATTTTTTACATTATGTTAGGAAACACTTATTACCCAGTTTATTGGTAAAATATATAAGTCGGGGTCAAGTCGGTTAAATAGACACCAAACATGTCAAGCTTTAAAATTGCGCGCACCTGCGACATCGCAGAAAACTACCATACCCAAAATTGGCCATAGGCGACGCTTTAAAAGCTTTTACCGCTCATCAGTTTAGTGTTATCAGTGATTGATGGCCCTAGACTTATTGCTCTCACTCCGACGTTCACGGCGATATGTAACATGTGCGGCGTAATGGGCGCAATCGTCTTTTTTGCACGTATGCGCCCCCCGACGCATGTTTGCATGCGTGTATGTATGGGTGGGGACTTTAAAAATGTTTTTATTCTTAAAATTCTTTTTATGTGTAACTTAAAATTTTTTTGGGGGGGAACTTTAATTTTTTTTCCCCACTAAACTTTATTGCTATCACATACGGGGGCTAATAAAACCCCCCTATGTGATAGCAAAATATGTGACAGGTCCTCTTTATGGAGACATCAGGGGTCTCCAAGACCCCTAATGTCACCTAGGACCCCCCAAAAGAAGCTGATGAAGCACAGATCTGCTCCATCAGCTTCTTTGCAGCTTCTGAAGCTGGAGAGTGACACAAGAATGTGGAAGTGATGTATTATACAACACTTCCGCATTCTTTCAGAGGAGAGGGGAGGGGACCGGAGGGAGCTTGTGTAACGATTGTATTTTGCTTGTATTTTGCGGATCGCAAAATACAAGCGATCCGCCGGCTGTTAACAGGCACCGCTGTCTGTTTTTAAATTGCGGTCATTTCCCGCTCGCCCGCTCAGATCTAGAGAGCTCCGGCCCGGAGGTGGTCAAGGAGTATTTTGTTGACAAAAGGAATGCAGCACGTGTGTGCAAGTAAGTTTGAATGCTTTTCCCATCCCCTTAAAGCCATGCCCAATATTCAGCGCAATATTGCCCACTTCTCTCAACTTTTAATATCATCTCTACGTCAAAGTTTTCTATCTTTTTCAAGTTCAGCTGTATATTTTTGCAGAGGAGATTTTAAACAATGCTGCATATTTGAACCAATGTTTTGGTTGCGTGTAGTTTTTCAAAAATCGGACTGCACAATTGTCTAAGTAAGCAAATGAAAAAAAGAAACCTTTCTGGAGCACTAGTATGAAGTATGATAAGGGCGGGTCCACAACTGCAGCAAGTTCAGGCTCTGTTCCAAGATGGATTGTCGTGGATGCTCTGAATAACACTTTGATGAAAGGAAAGGCAAGACAATTTCTATGATGGTGCTGTAAAGATGCAGCAGTGGACAGAGACTTGATGCACCATACTACTGTATGATTAGTTTTGTATTGCAGTTATGTATTGCAAATTAATAAGAAAAAGGACACATGCCAATAAGTAAAAATAAAGTGATGTGTGCGTCCTAAGCAGATAAAAACCACTCTAGGCCAGTGTTATGTGACCAAGTCCGATGTAAGGATCTGGGTACCAGTCTGGCTTGTTGTGCTCTGGTACATCAATGGGACAGAAGGAAAAAGGTTCAACTGGATATGGCTGTCACTTGGCACATTTCAGGAAGAAAGCATTAACCTTCCTCAAGACTAAACATGCATGAATGCTTGGCTGTCTCCTATATGATAGACCTAATTAATACATTTACTGCCAATTGATGGGACAAAAAAACAAACCACAGAATGCTGACAAATAGAGTTCTTATCTCTTTGCGGCAATAGATTTTTGATTCCTGAAGCTGGCTAATCTTGTCAATAGCATTCTATTATTCTACATTTTGGTAAAATAGGAGAGGAAATAACAATTTAAGAATGATAGTTGAAAGCTTACAAATGTATGATTCTTGTGGGGAAATACGACCCCCTCAAATAAATACCAGATTGTTGATTTTGAAAAAATTAAACAATTATATAATGGGGAAGGGAAAGAGCAGAGAAGAGCCGCAGAAACAAACAGATTTTTCCCCCCATTAAACTGAGGGGCAGGGTATGTCAGAACTATTGGGGCTAAAAGCAATCAAATTATAAGGCCTTTACATATTATTATACATGTTGTTAGGTGGGCATCATGGAAGCCATTTTGTCTCTGTTAGAAGGTGAATGCAAGTTCATTCTTCCCGGTTGAAGATTCTCACAGAAAATTTCAAGAGTCTTAGCATAAACATTCTCAGGCCGTAAATTGTGGGGTCTCAGACAACTGCCATAAGATAAGGACTAACTATGGTGCCAGGCTGTGTTATAATGAGATTGATGACCTTCATGTCTCCATTTAAACAATGTGAAAGAAACTGGAATGTTTAAAAAAAAAAAAAAATATTTCTCATGACTAGAAAAAGGGGCTTATTTAAAAGTTGCCTTATGAAACATTACTATTCATTGCAGTGATATTAGCAATAATTGTATTGTATTATTATATCATATGAAGCATCTATATGCCTACTACATGAATGATTACAAGTATTTTTTTTATATATTACATTATGTACTTTCATAATATCCAAACACTTTTCATTATATATTGTTTGAGTGTACCCATTGAAATATATTAGTATGTATTACTAAATAGTGGGTTTATATTTTTAAGTACAAAGAAATTGGTTGATATACCAATGTATTTTATCAGTGTAGCTATGTGTGAAGAACCACTGTGTCTTGAAACTAATTACTTCACTTTAAAGGTATTTGGAGAAAGAAAGTTAATGGCTTTGGTTTAGACTTTCTTAAAGTTGCAAATCCACGAAGAGACGGTCAGGCGAACAGAGGCTGACATGGGATGGTTTACCTTACTGAATTTATGATATTGTCCAAAGCTTAGGTCAGGTTATCTTTCAACAAGATCTTTAGAAAATAGTAGAATTTAATTAAACTACCCAAACTTTTATACAGTTCAATAGTGCCCCCTTGTGGTGATGGCGAGGAAGAGGTACATAATAAAATGATGTAATCTGACGTCATTAATCACGTGGAAGACCAAACCACGCCCACATTCCCTGGGGGATAAAAGTTGAAGCAGGAGATTGAGAGGCGATCTAGCAAAGAAAATGTAGTAAGGAAATACATACTAAGGGTATAGGTTGGAAGCTGATGACCAAGGGAACTGAACTAAAGAGAACCTGACCATCCCTTGTTTCTGAACAGTGACAGCTGACTTCTTTCAGACAACTAATTTTGAAATTTCTGGTAAAGTATACATTTATATCTTTATGTAGGCAATTGACTAGCCACATCTATATCTGAATAGACCATTTAGTCCTCATAGTATCTAGATTGAACTGAGATAATTTTTAAACTGCAGTATAAATTATATCTTTCAATCTTGGGAGATACATACATAAATCTGTATAATCTCCAGGAAGTTGATTTCAGCTTCTAGTCAATGGTCTAGTCTGATGTATACTTAAAATAATTTAGTGGTACCCCCTCCCCCACCTTCCCACCTGTTTGTGTCTTCGTCTTCCCGCTCATCCATCTCCGTCTTCGCTTCCCCCCTTCGCCACCTCCAGTCCCTATACTATAGTAAACATGTCACTTAAGATAGTATCTCTCAACGTTCAGGGACTTAACCACCCCAACAAACGGGTCAAAGCCTTTAGACACTTTAAAAAAATTAAAAGCTGATGTAATCTGTCTGACTTCCCTCAGTCGTACAACCTGTCATACCTGCATTCTAATTATCCTCTGTTTTTTTCAGCTTCCGCAACTACAAAACACAGAGGAGTCCTAATAGCATTCGGTCGCTCCACTCCCTTCATGCGTCAGAAAGAGATCAAGGATCCAGAGGGAAGGTACCTAATACTGGTAGGCTCGATCCATGATTGCACAGTTACGATGGTATCCTATTATGCCCCGAATATGAGCCAACTTGGATTTATCACTCGCCTACTCCAGGTTCTAGACCTCCATGCTAAGGGGACTTTGATCGTGTGTGGGGACTGCAACCTATTGCTACACCCTCATGTTGATCGACACGATCCCAACCACCCGGCAGCCCCCTCTACAGACATATCTGCGGCCAAGCGCTTCAGGACCTTGCTGACCCAATACCACCTAGTTGACTCCTGGAGAGAGATTCACCCCCTTAAAGAACAATATACGTTTTACTCTAACCCCTACAATGTCTTTTCACGCATTGACCACATTTTACTGGGCCCAG